GCAGAAAGGTAAGCCTCGGAGCCCCAGAAAGAGGCTAGTGGGTGTTGCAGGATCAGGGAAGTAAAGGGAGGTGAGGGCGGGGCCAGGTCCAGAAGCAGTGCTCCTGGGGCCCAAGGAAGGCATTAAGTTGGTTTGGGTGAAAAAAATCAGGAAGCAGTATTGGTTCCCCAGGTGTCTGGGGACTCAAGACTAGGAATGGTGCAGGGCCCAAACTAGGAGTAGAGAACAGCAGGGGAGATGGAAGGGTGAATGAGGCTGGGGGAGTCAAGGTGCAGTGGGCTGCGTGATAGACTTGGCCCAACAGAGGCCTGAGGATAGGAGAGCAGGCTAGGAGAGTTAGCTGGTGGTGCAAGTCCAGGGAAGCAGAGAGAGGTGAGGGCGGGGCCAGGTCCAAAGCAGTGCTCCTGGAGCCCAAGGAAGGTACCAAGCTGACCTTGGTAAAATGGAAGGGTGAATGTGGCTTGGGGAGTCAAGGCGCGGACGGCTGCGCTATAGACTTACCCTAAGAGGCCTGAGGGTAGGAGAGCAGGCTAGGAGCTTATTTATTATTTTTATTTTATGTATATTTGTGTATTGCCTGCATGTATGTAAGTGTACCCATGTCATGCAATGCCTATGGAGGACAAAAGAGGCCATCAGATCCCCTGGAACTGGAGTTACGGATAGTTGTTGGCTGCCATGTGGGTGTTAGGAATCGAACCTGGGTCTTCTGCAAGAACAGCCAGGGTTCTTAACCACTGAGGCATCTCTCCAGCCCTGGTTTTTTGCATGTTTAAATGGATTCTTCACTGTGTAAAAGTTATGTTCCCAACAGCTGGTAGGATCATGGGAGAATGAGGGTGGCTGGGGCTGTGGGCTACTATGCACCAGTGATCCAAGAGAGCCCCGACTAAGCCAACAAGTCCTTCAGGTGGCAGGCAGGGGTTGTGGGCTACTATGGACCAGTGAGCCAGGAGAGTGCCAACTAAACCAGCAAGTCAGGGTGGCAGGTGGGGAAGGAGCTGCCACTCAGTATACGACTTTTTGCAAAACCCCATTAGTGTGCAAGAATCCCTAAATTAGTCCTACTTTAAATTCAAGGCAATCTTTCTCTGTAACAAAAATTTATGTCAGTTGACAAATACGCATATGTGCTCACATACCTATATGTCACACAGATAAACAATTACATGTACAAATACAAACACACATATATACATGTACCTTAAATATATCTCATCATATGCCACATAAATATGAAATTAGTATAACTATTATATTTTTTTCCTTTCAACCAGACTGAAGATTTTCTAAGCACAAAAAACAAGACTTGCATATTTTTATGCCCCTCACACAGTGACACCACATAAAGCCCCCAATGCATATTTCCTTGTATTGTGACAGTGTTTACCATGTTATATAGAAAACACACCATCTATACTTTCTCAACTAGATGTGAACATGTTTTATTCACAGCTTTTGAGAAGCCTCTTAATGGTGCTCAGAAAGATATATGTTAGTGTTTTTAAAGTAGACAACAGGGACTGTAACATCTTTCTATCCATTTAAGCAAAATTTTCTTGCCTCAAGTCTCCTCCAAGGAGAGCAGACTCCAAGGGATGGAATCTAGTCTGTGAAAGTTGTAGTGGGAGAAAGAAAACATTTAGGCAGAGAGCTGTTATATATGAAAACATTTAATTAGCAACTGTGGAGGAATTGTTAAGCAAATTATGACTCTGTTGTTTATTCATAACGGTAGCTAATATACTAGGACATTTCCTAAGGGCCTGTGTGAAACAATACATATTATCTTTTAATCTTTATGGGTGAGATGGGTGCTATTAACCTCTCCTTCAGATGAGAAACTGAGGCATAGCGAAGTTGAGAAAGTTGTCCACATGGGGAAATGGGTAAGAAACCCCAAACCAACCCAAGGAAATTTTGGTAACCAATGACTGCTGGGAGGGGGAAAGACAGTCTCCTTCAAGCATGGGACTCTTGGTGGGTTAACCAGGTTCCAGTGGATAGACTCACACTGAAGGACATTTGGGGACATAAATTAGACCCTATAGGCCTTATTACATATATAATAGACTAATTTGGTAGGGGGCAATAAGGGGGTATGTGAATAGGGGAGGTGATCTAAATGCCAACAAATTATATTGTATGAAAATCACAAAAATTCAGTTAAAATGTTTTTTAAAAAAGAAAGTTGCCCAAGCTCGTGCAACTGGAATGTCCCAAAGCTGGGATTCAAACCTAGGAAGTGAGTTTTGTAGAACACCATGCTGTTTTGCCTGTCAGTGTGGAATGTTGTAGGATTGAAGGTACAGTTCAGTGGTGGAGAACTTGCATAAGATGCAGAAGACCTTGGGTTTAATTCCTGGGACTGAACAAATGAAGGAACATGATATTAGGAGATGGTCTTATAGACACCACACATTTTCTCAGAAGCTGCATATTAATTGAAAACCACCAGGTCTTTTCAGTTCTATGTCTAAGAAATATCTCAGAACACTCATGTCTCTCCAACTCTACCAACCCTACCCCCAATCCAAGCTGCAGTGTCTTTAGTTTCAATGATGAAATTGTTCCCAAACCAGTTTGCTCCCATCTGTTCTTCAAACTCTTCATGTAGTAGCCACTGTGGTCTTAAGAGAAGTGATAGCACTCCAACTTTGCTTAAATCCCTTTAAAATATTCCCACAGATTTTATGCTAAAGAGAAAAATCCGTAACAGACCTTAAGGTCTCTCACCTATCAAACTCTTTTCACACAACTCAGCTCCATTCTCTCTCTCTCTCTCTCTCTCTCTCTCTCTCTCTCTCTCTCT